GTCGCAGGGCACCGCTAATCACCCCGGAGCCCCTCAGCCTCAGGCTGGCGCGGGCCCGCCGCATGGCGACCAGTCGGTATGGGCGAGGTGTGGGCGCGTCCTCGGCAGCCCCGCCAGGATGGTCCGGGGGCCGCCCGTCGAGCGGAGACGGTGCCCAAGGCGGTGCTGGCCGATGGCGGCCCCGACGACGAGCAGGACGAGGACGACGACGACCTGCGCGAGCGCGCCGGTGACTGGGAGATGCGCTGGCGCCGGGTGCGCAGCGTTTGGCAGCGCCGCGACGAGGTGGCGCAGCTGAGCAGCAGGCTGGGGCAGGCGGCGCGCCGCGGCACCACCAGGGCGGCGCAGCAGCGGCGCAGCGTCCGCTGGAACAAGGTGGGAAAGGACTGGGCACGTGTTGGCGACGTGGACAAGCAGGACCCCGCGTACGACGAGCAGCAGAAGCAGCAGCCGCAACAACAGCAGCAGGAGCAGCAGCAGGAGAAGCAGCAGCAGCCGGACAAGCGCAACGTGTGGGAGGAGTGCGCGCGCCTTGGCCAGGAGTGGACGTCGCGGAGGTCGCGCAGGGCGGCGCCCAAGGGCTCGCCCAAGGGCAAGGACGGCGCGCGGCTCCTGGGCGCGCCCCGGCCGCGGCCGCTCATCCTGTCCGCCCCCGCCAGCCGGTCGCCGTCCCCCGTGCGGCTGCGGCGCGCCAGCGTCGGCGGCGACCTCGGCGGCAGCCCCCAGGGCATCGCCGTCGTGCACATCGCGCGCGGCCCCGCGGGCCTGACCTGGAGCCCGCCCGGCTTCTCCTCGACGAGGACGTCCAGACGCGCGTCGCTGGCCAGCAGCGACGGCGACGAGGACAACGACGACGAGAGCGGCGGGGAGGCCCCCAGCAAGGTGCCCCCCTCGCTGTGGGGTGACTTCCGGCAGGGTATGGCGACCATGCTCAACAGGTTGGAGCCAGCTGCGCACGAGAAGAGGCCCCTATTAGGCGCCGGTGAGGAACTGACGAGTGTCGAAGGGTTGTTGTTGTGGTCGGTGGTGGCTTGGTCTCGCTTGATCCTGTTGGTTCGAGGAGTGAGTAAGGGAAGGGTCACAGGTTGATAAGGACTGATAAGGGCTCTCACTGCCTTGCGTCATATTTTTCCTAAACCCGACTCTGCCCCGTCCCCCGCCCCTTTAGCGCTTGGTGGCGGCTTGGCCTTGATAAGCAATAGTTGGCTAGTGACTAATAATCACTTCCTAGGAGAAGGCGTCCCTCCGCGTTGGACAATTAGAGACCGGATCCTAGTGGAGACCGGGCTTGGCCGGGCTGGTCCGCTTTTGTCGTGAGGCTTTGTAGTGACCCAGCACCTTGCGTGTGGCTCTGTGTTGTAGGCGCAGCCTTTACCGCCGGCGCTGTGCTTCACGCCCATCTCACCTCCGTCACCTCCACCGGTCGATAGAGAGACCCAGCGCGTGAGTATACAAAAATCCAGCTTCCGGAAATGGTGTGACGTTCGTGTTTCTGTGTTGTGTTTTTGTCCGTGTGTTTGATGGTTATCTGTGTAGTGTAAGGGCGGTGCAGACAGTGCAGCTCCTAGTTGGCACTTGGTCGGGGTTGCCTCACGACTCAAAGCTTTTCTCTCACCTCGTCTCCTGGCTTTGGAGAGGCGCTCGGCAGGCCCGTGCGAGAGAGAGAGAGAGAGACGGGCAGAAAGACATGAGCCACATCATAAAGTTGCTGCTGCTGCTGGGCGCGAGCTGAGCTGCTCTGTACTGTACCCGCCCCTCCTGCAGGGGTCCCCGCCTGTCAGAAAACTTATATGCGACCACCACGGCACCCATGTGTTCTTTCATTATCTACCCCTCTCCTTTTGGCTACCCCCCCCCCCCCCCCTCAGTCTGTCTGGGAAGGGGCGAGAGAGTGCCCACCGCTCTGTAGCCGTGATGGGGTTCCTTGTTTGTTTCACCTGCCTTTGGCAGCGGTCCGAACACCAGCTGGCGATGCGGGGCGGCGGGGCGGGACGCGCGTCCGATCTCGATCGCCATCCCAGCCGTCGAGGACCCTCCCCTCCGCGTTACATGTAGCGTGATGCCGGCGGTACCCGCGGCTCCTTTTTCTTTCTCTCTCCCCTATATTTTTGACACTGACATCTCTCCTCTGCAAACCTCCCTAAATCTAAAAGAAAACAACCGATACGTACCTCGTGCGAGCTCGTGTTGCCGCCATACAACGCTCTTGGCAGCGGGCTGGCAGGTGCGCGGTTGTGTGTGACGCGAACTGTCGAATGCGCGCGCCCGCCTCCTCTCTGGGCCAGCGCGAGCGACAGGTGACGGCGAAAATGAAAACAAGAAAACAGGATACTTTGAGTGAGGGGAGGAGGCGGGGGCTGTATATTATTTTTGGTTTCACGTGGCGTCTCTGGGCTCGCCCTCGCCCCTCGCCGTGTTGCAGCTGTGAGTGAGTCATGTCGGACCGCTCAATGAACTGCGAGAGGAGAGCAAAGAAGGGGCCGTCAGGAGGGTGAGGTATAAAGGTGCAGGAGGGTCGGGAAGAAAGGAGAGATGGGGTGGGCAAAGTATGCGAGCGGTCCGCCCCCCGGCCGTCTCGGTGGCGAGGGCGAAGAATGCGGGTACCTGTGATCGTCCCACCATGACCTCCTCCCCCTCCCGACCCGACCCGGCCCGCGCGTATACCGGCTCGGCCGGGATGCCACCGGTA